CACGGCTTGCATCGCAGCACGCGCTGGCCGGGGCGTATCAAGCGAACGGGCAGACGAAGGAGGCGATCCAGCTGCTGGAGCAGGTCGTTGCGATCCGGAAGACATCGCTCGCGGAGGGTCATCCGGACCGGCTTGGATCGGAGCACAGCCTGGCCAAAGCAATTGAAGCGAGCAGGCGCCTTGAAGAGTCAGACTCGAACTTACCCCAACACGCTACTACGGAATCACGTCTGCTCGATCTCACGCATAGCGCCGACAGTGCTCACAACGTCAATAAGAAGAACAGGAAGCGGCTTTCATTTTGGCAGAAATGGCGTCGATGAAGATGAATTCTTGCATTTGTGACTAAGTTACATTACGATTCTGAATGTAGGTGAGCCGTCGAGGCTTAATATAAAAGGACTTCTCCCCCAGCAACAGCTCTAGCTTTGAATCTGGCTGTCGAGTCGCGTGTGGTCTGCGGCTTGCTCCTACGCTAGCAATCGATAGAGAGTGAACGGGATGGACTCCGCAAAAGAAGGGCAGGCGCCTTATGCGGCTGTAGACCACAGTGGTTTTCAAGCCCTCGGTGTGGACAGGTGTGCTTGACTAAGTACGGAAGCGCATAGCATAGTTTACGGGAGTTCTCGACGGCAGACATGACTCAGCAATAGAGATTTGAAAACAACATCATGAATGTCGACGGCGGCAGCGTTCGGGATCGTGCAACACAGCCCCGAATAGAACGAGATCGAGGCCAGGGATAGAGTAGACGCCAAGCGGTATGCTGAAAGACTCAGATCTGCATACCGATAAGGATTGTGTATACATATCGCGATTAACGGAGACGCTCGGATTTCGCACGAGAATAGAATCGATTACAGCGTTCGCAAAACGAGGCTGATCCTAGCGGAAAAGCCGTAGTAGAAGGCTGGCATCCTGCTCTACAGTGCAGATGCGGTATCATGGGTAAACACATGCGTGGCGGAATATCATTAATGAAAGTCTTCGACGCTAGCTCGTTACACAGGGTGGCTCGCGACGCCGGGAGGGACGTTATTTCAAGGAATCACTGCACAAAGTATCGGAGTATAGCGCCGCCAACCCTACACAAAGGCCGAGCTGAAGAATCCCCGCATAGTGGATTCATCTCTGCCACGGTCGCCAGGCATGCATGCTTCGGTTAGATCGATGGCATCTCCGACTGCCTTACCGCTACTTCGTATCTATGTATAGATGTCTGCAGGTGAGTTCTACAGTTCTAGCTTGGTAAAGCAGTCCAGTCTAGAAACCGGGTTAGAGTGATGATCCGTCCTGGCGATACTGTAGGCCCGTGCACGCCAGATACAGTCACGTGAAACATAAGCGGAGGCGAAATCGTAGGATAGAACCTCCGATTCACGAGAAGGAACGCCCTCTCTCGGCTATCGCGCCGTTCGCCCATTGGATAATCCCATCTCATGAGATGGCGCTTCGAGATGATGAACTGACCGACGACTATGTTGCATCACTTCTGAAACGCGATGCGGAGCGTATGTCGCGGACAGGCGTCGCGGACGGGTTGTCGTTGGGGGCAGGACCACGACCGAAGACGCAAGCCAAGCCAAATACTCGATTCTTCCGTCACATCATCCGTGAGACAGATAGCCACAACGCGGCGCTTAAGGCACGGGAAGAAGTCGAGGCGCGAGCGAGGGCGGAGAGGACGAGGAGGAAAGCAGAAGACGAGGCGGCGGACGGAACAGACAAGAGGAGGAGAAGAACAAATCGTGATCACGAAGACGAGCGGAGGTGTGAGGGCCGTGACGGAGATCGGAGACGACACAGACACGATGACGGTAAGAGACGTGAAAAACATCGACATGCCCCCTCAGACGAGCACAGGACTAGATCTTTCCCAGACGGTGAAGATCATGATAAGCCACGACGGCGCGCACGATCACCATCGCCTTCACGTAGAGGAGCGAGTCCGGTCAGACGCACGCACGAACGCGATCGACGTTCTCAGAAGCAACGGCGTAGCCCCGAGCGCCGCAGCCGATCGCCGAGAAAACGATCATCGCCAGTACGCGACGCAGAGCGAGCAGAGGATGGATACGCAAGCGACGAATCAATCGGTCCGCAACCTCCTGCTCGTGGTCGTGGAGCCCAGTCGTCTCGCACGAGCACTATTGATTCTCGCTTTGCGCCCGATTATGATCCCAGAAGTGATGTCGCTTTCGAGGAGCCGGACTTGACGAAGGCTGGTGATGATTGGTCGAATTCGCTGGCTGCAGTACGAGCGCGTGCAGACTGGCGCAACCAGGGCGGAGCAACTGCTAAGTCAAAAGACGGCGTAGAAAACGGCATCGATGTCCAAGATCTGCGCTGGCGGAAAAGCGGCGAGGAAAGGGAATGGGACAGAGGAAAGCTGCTCGACGGAGACTCTGTTGACATTCGTCCTGCATGGGCCTCGAGATTTACCGAATAGTTTCGTAGCATAATCGCGCATTGTTGATTGCGTGGAGTAGAACTCCCAACGTTCACAGAATTCAGGGTCAACCTCTGAATGTGTGCTGACACATGCTTACGACGCTTTACCGTTCCAAGGTTGTCGAAGCACAACCGTTTCACAAGTATTGCAACATGTGTGCTTCATTTCAGTTATCGTGGTTGACATCCAATATTCAGAGATGGTCGTTGATGCCGCTCAGCCGAATTGGATTCGGACGTGGTGCGAATGCTGTGGACAATATATCTCGAGTGCACAGGCACAGGGATCGCAGTACCCCTTGCAGATCAATGCATTGGATTTCCAAATTCGCTCTCTTCGCGAATGAAATGACACGATCTCGCCATGCGATTTGCAAAAAGCATAGCATGGTCACGGCATGGCGAGAACGGACGATTGGCTAGATACCGAACAGAACGTTCCAAGACCGGTGAACTGCCCGGAACTCGGCAGCGAGGCTTTGGAGAGACCGGCAGGGGGCGCATGTCTTATATGTGCAACGGTGCGAAAAGTCTTGTTTTGACGATGGTGTAGTTTAGACGAGACGAAAAACCCACGATCACGACAAGCAGAGACCGTTTCGGATGGTGAACTCTCACCACGTTTTAGCGAGCCTGCGAATCACGGGTGCTCATCTTACGTGGGAATAAGCGCAACGCTAAGGAACGCACGTCATCGCCCTGGCGTTAGGAAATAGGACACTTGGACCGTCTCCCCCAGCTTACGTCTCGCTGTCATCACACGATAAGCCCCGGCCCAGCCAAAAGCGGGAGAGAGATAACCGTGAGGCAAAACATCCACGCCGCCTCTGTTCGCCCTCGCTGAGTCTTTGACCGCAAACTAGATCAGCCTACCTCCCCTAAGGATACGAGAACGCATGCTTTGAACTGCATGGAAAATACCCGGCCGCTGGACATGGACTACTTATTAAACACACCGCTTCCCTCCCAAGGGACCGATCATGTCGTCCTTCTCATCGACTAAAGGTGTCCACCTGACAGCAGCTCCCTCTCCAGTCCCACGTCACGTTGGACCGCCACAGGACCTCTGTTGAAGCCCGATCAGCATTCCACTCTCTTTCCATCCCTTGAGACATGGCCTTGCTCACCGACTAGACTGAGTAACTTTCACCTGGAGCTCGATTGTATTCCTATAATTATCGTAGATCGGTCGCAATAGAGAAATCTGGCGCCGGAACAACAACCAACGAAATGGCATCGACTCCTCCACCTGGCCTTGGCTCTACGCCGACTACGGATCCACAGCCCGAGGACAAGAAGAATAACCACGTCCGATGGAACAAAATGTTCAGCAAAAATGACGACGCTCGTCGGCTGGCGAGCACCGCGACGTCCAATGATGTATCTGTCAGCCAGGGAGAAATAAGATCTCGTCCTCGCTGGACGATGGGCATTCTCAACGACCCAACCACAGACCAAGTACCCGGCTCTGTCCTCCTCCTCTCAAGTGTCTCCAAGTTCAACGAGCCGCTTGGCCTCGACAATGCTCCGGCGCGCACATCGTTATCATCCATTCCTCACGTCAGTAGTCCAAGCAGACACGACGCACCCGAAGTCCCAGCTACTCACCATCGTGCCACATCGCGGTCGAGTTCTCGATTCAGATGGGCATCTGCCGACGTGAAGAAATGCACACCCGACGGAAAATTCGTCCTCGAGCCTCAGCCTCATGATTCACCGAATGATCCCCTCAATTGGACTCTTTGGCGTCGCGATCTTGCCCTGCTCTCCCTAGGATTCTACTGCATGGTCGGTGGCGGTATGACGCCCATTCTCGCAGCCGGTTTCGAGACGGTGGCGGCCGACTTCAAGATCACCGTGCCTCAAGTCGCACTTACGCTGGGTATGTACTCGCTTGGCCTCGGCTTAGGAAGCGTGGTGCTCAGTCCCACCGCAATCCTCTACGGCAAGCGGCCAGTCTACCTCGTCGCCTCGGTCTGTTTCGTCATCTCCGCCGTTTGGTGCGCTGTCAGCCCAGACTTGACCAGCCTGCTCCTCGCTCGTATTTTCATGGGATTTGCCGTGAGCAGCGTCGAGTGCTTACCCTCTGCGACTATTGCAGAGATTTATTTCCTTCACGAAAAGGCATATCGCCTTGGTGTGTATACTCTATTGCTGCTCGGTGGTAAGAACATCGTGCCGCTTGTCAGTGCAGTCATCATCGGTACTCTCGGTTGGCGCTGGGTTTTCTGGATCGTGGCCATTGTTGTTGCGTTTGCTGCTTGTTTGTTATTCTTCTTCGTCCCAGAGACATTTTGGGATCGTACACCGATACCTCGGAACGACCGCCCGCGGAGTCGAAGGATCCCTGCACTCCTCCATGCCATGAGCCCTCATGGAAAAGAAGACGGTCCCTCTGATGAAAAGTCTGTCCACAACAATACAGATAGCGATGAAGCCATCCAACAAGCACATCCGCCCCTCAGCCACCATTCACAGATCGAAGACACCCCTCGCCAATTGTTTGCTATCACCGAAAAGAAGGAAGGTCACGAGAAGACTGGCGTGGCTGATGTATACGGCATACCCAAGACCCCGGAAACAGACAGTGATGAACCTTCACGGCAGAACTCATACACAAGCCACTACTCCACCCAACCACTCAAAACATTCTCTCAGAGCCTCCAAATCGTCTCCGGCCGACTCCGCGAGGACAGTTGGTTCCGCGTCGCTGTCCGCCCTTTCTTCCTCTATTCATACCCGGCAATTCTATGGTCGAGCTTAGTGTACAGTCTGAGTATCGGCTGGCTGATCGTCATTTCCGAATCAGTCGCTGTCATCTACCAGCGACGAGAAACCTACAACTTTACACCGCTCCAGGCCGGACTCGTCTACCTGAGTCCATTCATCGGCGGAATCTTTGGAACCGCCGTTGCGGGAAAGCTCTCCGATGCGGTCGTTCGATACATGGCCCGCCGCAACGGCGGTGTCTACGAGCCGGAATTCCGCCTCATCATGACTATTCCGATTGCTCTTAGCACCACCATTGGGCTGATGGGCTTCGGCTGGAGCGCACAGAAGATGGACAACCCGATCGTCCCTACCGTCTTTTTCGGCATTATTTCTTTCGGCTGCAGTTTGGGTTCCACGACGGCCATTACATTCGCGGTCGATAGCTATCGTCAGTACTCGGGAGAGGCACTGGTGACGTTGAACTTCAGCAAGAATATCTTTCACGGGCTGGTGTTCAGCTTGTTCTTCAACCGATGGTTGGAGAGCGAGGGCAGCAGGGATGTGTTCCTCGCCATTGGTGGTATACAGTTGGCTTGTCTGTTGACGACGATTCCCATGTACATCTATGGCAAGCGGGCGAGGATGTGGACCGTGAGAAAGAAGATTATGGATAAAGTGTGAGGACGATCGTTCACTTATACATCATATTTTCGTAGATTCATACACTATACCACTTTGCCGACGTATTCATTGCCGTCCAGTTCCTCGTCACATTGCTTCGTCCTTCGCATAAGGGTATCCCGTGCAGCAGCTAAGTGATGCTCATCAGCACGAACGTCTCTCGGTATGTTGGATTGCGTAAAAGGCGTACTGTGTCATCCCAACCATCGTCATTTCGTCGAAGGAGTATAAGCAATCGAATCCGGGCAATTAGACTTCCCGCAATCCTTCGACTTGGTGCGCACGGTGGTTGTCTTGACGGGGACGCCCGACTTGCTGTATTCGATAATGGGTTTATGATCCCACGAGCACATCTTCGTCGTGGTGATTCGGTTACACCGATGGTCTGAGTGACGGTGTAGCCCCGCTCCGCCTGATCGTTCGCGTTTTGATGATTGGATCCTTTAAGCGTGATGTTCCTTCGACGTGTTCGAAACAGATGAATCGCACGACAAAGGAAACCATCCTTCGAGTCCGAACATTATATGCTGCCTCGACCACCCCCTCTCTCTCACGGCTTCGAACAGCCGGGGAATCTTCGTGCCGGCATAAGCGCCGGTCGTTGCCACCGTCACATCGGAGTGCAGCGTCGCACATACCAGTAGCTTATCGACCAGACGAACGGAGGTGTTCCTCGACAGGCCGTGCATCATGCACAGATGACGTGAGAGACCTCCGCGCGCAAGAGGCCGCACCTGTCGTCAAGCCACGGGGGGATGCAACGCGTCCGACCACGACACCGCATCTCTACATCACTGCTGCTGATACGTTGGCGTTTCTGGTTGCTGGTCGCCTGAAATGTATAATACGTCGAGCGCCATTGATCGCCAGCGCAACCAGCTTGGCGAAGACGCTAGGAGGCGCAGATCACCAATCGGCATGTTCGGGAAGCAACGCAGATGCAGATTGACTCCTCATTTTTACTTTAGAACGGAAGTCTCGAATTTCGAGGCGCCAGCGCATGAAAGATAGTTATTCGAGTGGCGCATGGAGCTATGCCTGATTGAGCATAGTCGCATTCCACGTATCAACGTCAGTGTTATATACTGTACCTCGACGTACTTCTGTACGACTGCAATCTTGTCACCTTGACCTGGATCGAGTCTGACCTCTTTTTGCTCCTCTATGAAATTCGCATCTTGGGCCGAGGTCATTAATTCCTCATAGGTATCTTGGAAGCCGGTATCGGAAAAACCATCCACAAAGGCTTTCATTGGATCCTGTAGCGCCATGTTAAGCCTTCCCGACCGGAGCTGTGTCCGTTGCAATAGCTATGAAACACCTCCCTTTTACCATTCGATGACTAAGATTTGCCTACCATGCTCAATCGAGCAGTGACTAAACGCAAAACAATAAGCAGTGCCTAGGATGGACCTAGCGCTTCTAGGTAGTGTAACGCAGCTGGTTGTGTACGTCTCGAGCACCGTGATGAGCTATGACTTGCTACAACTTTGATGATGATAGCAATTTGACAACACTTTGCTCCTTATTTGCTGGAAGCTGAGCCTCGTTCTCACGTGGTATTAACATGCAGTTGTCAGACATCGTCAACATGAATCACCCTGACTCATCGAGTATCACTCGCGAGAACCCTTCAAGAACTTCGATCTGCTATCCCCAGACTAACGCAAGAAGTCATCATGGCATTCTCGCTGCCGGCCTGCGAGCTGAAGTGTTCTGACGATTTGCCACGGCTCGCTTTCTGCCTGGAGCGCGTGACTAAGCCCGAAGGCAAGAAGCATATCATCCGTCAGGCAAGGACCGCTGTGGTCCACTATCCACCTCGTATCGAGTCAGAAGACACAATCAGTGACAAGCTCGCCAACTACATTCGCGATGAAGATTACACGATCGACGAGAGCGAGCAATCTATCTTGGCTGCGAGTCTGACATGGGCTCACATCCTGGACCAGATCCGCGATCATGAAGATGATTCACCCGAGCCAGGGGAACAAACCTATCTATTGATCATTGATCTTAACGCAGTTTCAGATCGAAGAGTCTACGATGGCCGGCAGCTTGCTGTCAGTGCCACAGACGCAGGTCTCGCAAAATACACTGCCGACGGCGCCGCTCCAGGCGAGAGGGCACTCCACGAAGTCGACAACCTCGCGCTTGTGTACCCGGGCAACCTCGATAGTGGACTCGGCCTCGTCGCAATCCTCGAAGCCGGCGAAGGAGAAATCAGTGAAGTCGCATGGAAGGGCAAGACGATGAAGTTGCCTACAGCCTATGCGCAGGAAGTTGAACTTCGCGTTCGCTTGCAATCGACCACCCTGACTGATGAGCTCGACATAGGAGTACTGATCGAAGATGACCTTAATGCTCAGTTCCGACAGCTGCAGCCGGAATCGAGCCAGGGGTGGCGTAGCTTTCTAGTGCACGACATTATGAACGCAATGTGTGACTAGGCTAGCGGGACGATAGGTTAGCTGGGGCAATAGGATGTAATATACATAGCGCTACGAGCTCCAGTCTTGAGCCATGTCCTTCCTTATGCGACTCTAATGTGAAAGGCATGTTTTGGTGCCCAACGCAATAAATATACTGTCGCGTCCGACAAGTGTTAGGCCATGCGCCTCCTTTTAAGCTATATGTCTTAGTTGTTATCGCTGTTATTCATTGATGTCGTGAAATATCATCTCCATACGAACCAATCAAGGCCGAATCATCACACCCATGGGGAGTGGCCTTGTGAAGGTAACACGGCGCACCAATCCATGACCAGGCGGATGCGGTTCGAGCAGTAGCGAATTCTGATACGGTCCCGCAGCTGCCATATGGTCGGCGTTGAATTGTCTTCTCTTCACTTTCGGCGTCCGCAGAAAGGATTGAATCCGCTCCGGGACACCACCGAGCAAATCTGCGGACCAAAGGCTGAGAACGACGATGCCAGCAGTGAGTGGCACGGCGACAATTTAGAATATCCAATGCGTCCCCTCCATGTCCCGCACATCGGATATGTTCATATCCAGGACCGACGACACGAATGACAACGGAAGACAGATGACGGTCACGAGGGTGAATAAGATGATAGCTGCTTCCTCTTTATCCTTGTTCGTTTCAATTTGACTCAGCTGCCATGCATCTAAAGCGTCAATATTCCGCTGTAGAGCACGGAAGGTTTCCGTCCGATAAGCAGCCTCAGCGAGAGAATGTCGCAGCTTTCGATCAAGAGAGGGCGGCTGTCGGGTCAGGCTTGTCAGGGCGCTTACCAAATCCAGCATTGAACTCATCGAGACCCTTCAAGACCTCGACTTGATGCTGGAGGGTCTTGATTGAGGCACTCGTTTCCTGGTGGAATTCTTGGAGAACATCTCGATGGGAGCGCTGAGATGGGTCTTCGACCATCTTGTTCCTCTACAGTTTGGATTAGCATACCCATAGGTTGAGTCTCTTTCTGCAAAGAAATGATGCTCACCAGCTGACGAAAATAGTCCTCATAGATGTGTACAAGACCCGGGGTGCCGCGCATAATTTCTTTACACGACCTGTACGCCAGTAGCGCCAGCAGGCCGCGACTGGGACAAATCTCAAAGCTGCTGAGACTCTCATCAGAGAGCATCGACATGAGCTCTCGCTCACCCAGGCTTAGATCTATCGCCATGTTTGGCAACTGCTGCAGGTCGATGATTCTGCCGAAATCACTAGCGCTCACGAAAGCTACATTTGCTGAAGATCTGAGTGGCTAGACAAAGGTCATCACAAAACGCATCCAGGCTTTGAAGAAATGGCTTCGGAGAAGCTGTAAGTCGGGCTCGCTCCCAGCGAAGACAGATGTGAAGTCGTGAATCTGTGGAGGTAGCCTATGAAGCTTATCTAGAGTCTCGGAGACGGCAATGTCACTGATCGACGGAGTCTAACAAAATTGAACTCATCAGCGCAGGGGTTGTAGGAGAAGTATCATATGGTGCTGTGGAATTCGGTCCAACTGTTGCGGTAGACTGCACAGCAAAGTAAGGTGGAGGCCATGCTGAGAAGCCGCTTTGTAAATTAGACAATGGTGGTTGATAAGATTGATTGCCCAACTACGGCTGATGCGGTTTTGGATTCCAGCTCACATGGGGCACATACGGTGGGTAAGTCGAGTAATTCAGGGGCACATGAGGCTGTTTTTCATAGACAGCATAGTGAGAAACGCTGGAGTCGAATGGTTGATTGATGCGAGAAGCGGGATCGAAAAGATTCTCGTATGGTCCTGGACTTATGTCCTCGGGATCAAAGTTCATATATTATCCTGGAGTCGGCTTAAAAGTATTGCTGTAGAATCCGGTACCAGCCTCGTAATGATTGCCGGAGGGGCGAGGTGTGGCGGGCTTACTGTAGTGCTCCGGCAGCATCTCAAAGGGGGTTTGACTTCCAGGAGCTGTATAGTGTGACTGAAGAGGATAAACGGCCGTGCCGAGGATAACAATCGCTCGCGACCGGGCAATGTACATCCGTATAGACCGTTTCTTGAGTCGACAGCGGTGTTTCCGAATCTGCCATGACCGAATGGTCCGCGTCTCGCACTATGCGCCTCCGTCATTGTAGGTCCCGGAAGAGTATAAGCTGTGTCGTTGCGGAGATTCAAGAACGGCTTGCCGACGATGCTACTCGGTTCGGGAGGCTTCGGACTCTCGGTTGTCACCCGAGTGTTCTTATCGGGCTTAGCAATGAGCTGAGTGTTGGCCGACATTGTTCGCAAAAGAAGCGCGATAGTGGCGCAAAGAAGAAACGTAGGTTTCTTGACGCAACGAAAGAGCCATCTCGTGCAGGAGGTCCACTCTCTTCTTAGTGAGGCACAATTTCAGGCCGAGACTAAAGACAAGCCATGCTGCCCTCGAAGTCCAGAATATGCAATGCAGTGCATGCGGGACAAAATGCGCGACGCAAAGAGTAGTTGCTCATGGAACAATACCCCTCGGCAGGATTCCGTGGGATCGAAACTGCGACATCGTGGCGTTGGCATCCTATCGCAAATCTCGACATGATGTGATGAACCTGCGTGGGTGCTGCCTCTTCAATGCAGCGCTGCGGTGCAGCACAGTGGGGCCTTCATTGCTGAAGACAAGACAGAACTACACACTATAAACAAAGAAAATATATGAATTTGCATATTCGAATCAAGTCATAGAGTCGCTTGCGATAGTCGATCAACTACAATCAACTGGAAGAGGTCTGTTTGCGACTCATTCCGTAGGTCGAAAGCAGTTGCAACTCCAGCTCGTTGGGCTTGAATCTCGAAAGAGTGGGAGTGGCGGCTTCTCCCAAACTACCGCTCGGAGACTGGTGAAGCTGCTATCTTTGAATGGTAAAATCGAGCAGGCACAGGACGCTGGCAGTTTTCAGATCGACGTGAATATTCCAGCGCGTGATGGTATGGAGCAATCAATGCGTCGAGTCGCCCATGTTGAAAAGCTAGGTGGAGCGCTGTTATCAGCTCACAAGACGATGTCTCATTAGGGTTGCGATAGGCGCCCGAGCATCGTCGTCTTCGGAATTACCTGATCGAGCCTAGCTCGATACATCCTTCGTCATCGCCTATTCTACGGGCAAAATTTACCATTCTATTCTTGCTTCCGCCGTCGTTTATAATTTGTGCTTCTGGATTGGAAACGAAGTGACACAAAGACTCGTATATCAAAACTTGATTGTTTCCTAATAACGTGAATTTTCAAAATGTACATTGACCATGAAATGTGAGTAATGCCTGTCAAGTGGGCTGAATGAGTACCGTATGGATGTGAAATTGGTCCTGCCCCACTAGACCCTGTAACAAGTCGCGGGCGCGGGCGCAGACCGAAATCGTCATTCTCGGAAATTATGTCACGAGACACGAAGTTCCAACATACACGCACGTGAACGTGTACTCCGCGGACATGGCCGACAGCGATCTCGAGGCCATCAGGCAAGCGCGGCTCCAGCAGCTACAAACGCAAGGATCCGGGAATGCCGGCGGCGGCGGTGGTGGCAGCGGAGGCGGGCAGCAGGACGAACAAAGGTGCGTAGACCGGACATGAGAAACACTGTCCTACGCAGATCTGACCTTCGGGCGCAATAGATCCCGCGAAGAAGCCCAACGCACATCAATACTCGGTCAGATCCTCGAACCACTCGCAGCCGATCGTCTCGGTCGCATTCGCATGGTCAACGCGTCACGCGCCGAAGATGTCGAGAATCGCTTAATCATGCTGGCACGAAGCGGACAATTGCGCCAACGAGTCAACGAGGACCAACTGAAGGACATCCTGAGTGCAGTGGCGGAACAGCAGAAGGAGAGCGCGGCAGCGAAGGTTGTGGTGCAGAGGAGAGGTGCAGCCTGGGACGATGATGATTTGGACGATCTATTGAACGAGGATTGAGCAAAACAAATTGAGGAAGATTTGAAAGGACGAAATTAGTACGTTGCGGAACGCCAGCAGCATAGCGCTGTCATACTCCTGCTACTGCTGTCATGGTATGCGCCGTCGTTTGCATCCTCCGATTTCATGACATGACATCGATGAATCACAAGGTTTTGGACATCTCACAGGAGATGAAGCGGAGCTGCGCGAAAGGATGTATGCTTTTCTGTGGGAATATAGTCTGACACGCATCGATGTCGCGTGAATTGAGGCGGATTTCTCCCCAGCTTCCTGCTGCAAGCCACATCGCCTGATGCGAGATACCCTGTTGACGACAGACATAATGTGAAGGAGAGCGCAGACAGAAGCTCTCGTACGAGAAGATGCAGCTGAACGAAATTCGATGATGTGATACGGCACGGTTCTGCGTTCTAGCCCACGTAGTTTAGCATCATGGCATTACTTTCCATTTTTTGTATAGTGTTTGACGCGCTTGCCGCCTAGTCGCGATAGCGTTGGAAGCAAGCGGACATCATCGAGCACGGCCACTGATATATCACAGTGCCATCCCATCTATTCGTCAACAGATACATAAGATTGACAATCAGAGAAACGTGGCGCAATCGCATGATTCGATCGCCTGTAAGCAAAGACCATTTAATTCTACGTCGAAGCCCCGGAGGATTCTCTTATATGCTTAAGCTTAAGGTGTGTCATGCACGTAGGGCCGGCGCAAGCCTTGCCCAGACTACACGCTACCAAGGAATTGACGATGATCAAACGCCACATGTAGCAACACATGCTTGAATCCTCGAAAGAAGCATGCATGCCAAGAAGCAAAAGCGAGCGGTCCAAACGCAGCCGTGGTCCGACGCATGCGTTTGGCAAACGATAAGCTACGGACCTTGGAAATCCGGTGACCGCCTTCGGATCCCCACCCACCGTTGCCGGGTAATGAAGAAAAACGATAAAGTTGTCAGGACAATCCCATTCGAGTTGTGTTGTGCGACACAATTGTCATTATCGAGGACTCTGAAATAAGACTATCGATCCAACTCGCATTTCCATCGCAAGGTCTTCGTGAGGTTCAGGATCAAGCAGGGTAGCCCAAGGGTAAACGATCGCCAATCATGCATCTCCACACTCTGAAGGAACTCGACAATTCAGAGGGTACAGTGCAACTCCATGACGTCCAATCACAAGGCGAAATCATCCTCCATCCAGCACCCAATGCAAACGATCCAAATGACCCCTTGCGATGGCCCAAGACAAAGAAATACATCTGCTTCGCCAGTGTCTGCGCTTTCACCTTCCTCACAAATTATGGCATCGGCGGACTCGCGCCAGCATTCTACCGGATCAGTCTCCAATTCAACAAAACCCCTCATGAAACGAGTAATCTGCTGCTCTGGCCCGTTCTGGTGCTCGGAATTTCGAATTTCTTCTGGGTGCCCATGTCGAATTACCTAGGCAAGCGGCCGATCTTCGTCTTCTCCACGTTGCTGCTATGCGTTTCATTCTTGTGGGGTGCTCTCGCAAAAGACTACACCAGTCTGCTATGGAGTAGCATTGTCGCCGCGTTCGCAGGATCTGCATCAGAGGCCGTCGCTGCGGGTCTTGTGAATGATCTGTTCTTCACGCACGAGCGAGGTAACCTCTTTGGATGGTACATGATTGCTATCTCCGGCGGCAACGACATTGGTCCGCTGATCTGTGGTTTCATCGTCGGTGGTACTTCGTGGCGAGTACACAAATGGGTGTCGTTCGGTCTTGCTGCACTCAACTTTCTCACAGTATTGCTTTTGTGCCCAGAGACACGTTATCAACGCGACAACCTCTTATCTTCAGCCTCGATTGTAGACTCAGCTCCGGGAAGTCCGTCTGGTGAAAAGGAAACGATTAAAATCCACGAAAGCAGTGATGAGCCCGCGCAAGTGGCAAAGAAGACGTTCCTGCAAGATTTGAGCTTGTTCTCAGGAACATGTCAGCAGACCAGCCTTGTGAAGCTGTTCCTGAGACCACTGCCGATGATCGTATACCCAGCTGTTATTCTCGCATTTTTGGGATTTGCCGTAAGCTTGGCGTGGGTGGTCGCCATCAACATCCTCAATAGCTTCATTCTTCAGGCCCCACCGTACAATTGGTCCGCTGGAATCAATGGCTTGATCAACATCCCTGCTCTCATTGGAAACTTGTTTGGATCCTGGATCGGAGGCTGGGCAGTTGATCGCTACTCTGATTGGCAGAGTCGCCGGAATAATGGAGTGTTCCAGCCTGAAACCCGGCTGCATCTGCTCTGGGTTCCCGCTGTGTTGGTTCCAATTGGTCTGTTGGCCTTTGGATACGGTGTCGAGAGGCATCTCCATTGGACTTCTCTGTGAGTATTGACGTTGATATTGATCACAGAATTGCTGCTAACGATATGATAGCTTCTTTGGAAATGGACTTGTCAACGTCGGTCTTACTGCTGTTCCGGCAATGACCATGACGTACGTCAGCGATGTCTATCTGCCGGTCAACGCAGATGCTTTGACTCTTGTTGTTGGATTGAAGGTATGTGTGGCTTCCATAATATGTTCCTGAGATTCAGTTCTGACAGCAATCGTTCAGAACGTAGTGTGCTTCGGATTCATCTACGGACTTGTTCCGTGGGTCGACGAATCCGGCTACATCGCGGCATTCGGTGCACAAGCGGGTGTTTACGTCGCCATTTGTCTGTTGGCTGTTCCGGTCATCGTGTACGGACAGAAGGTCCGCCACATCACTGCGCAGTGGCGAATTATTCTCTAAATTTGCACACGCGTTTGTCGCTGCGCGATCGTTTTATTCACCCTTTCTTATCTGATTGTTGAACACCCCATTGACCTCCGAACAATGGTAAGTTTTCGTTTCGATCAGCGTTGTTCGTGGCCGCGAGACCCAAGCATCGATAGCCATGTTGCGACGACCAATTCGATCTGCGCCCATCGCTCGCGAATCAAGCTCACGGCAGTAGTGCGAATGTACTCCTGATCGACGGACTCTTGTATTGAGCCTTCCAGAGCGTCCAGGTTCCTCTGCGTATCCCTCGCTTGTTTCAAGAAGGTCTCAAACAAGGGCGCCAAGAAGCCATTGACCTCCTGTGTTCGATCAATGCCGCCAGAATCTTCGCCGCGACTGCAATATTGCATGAATTGTCTTTCGTCTAGTAGCAGTGCGCGGACGGCGACCTGAGTCTTGTGGCAAACCTTTGCACTGGCGGAGTCTAAGACGTAACCATTCCAGTAGCCAAAACTGCGCAGCTTACCTTCAACACTTAACAAAGCAGGAATCAAGACGTCGTCTATTGGAATGGAGTCATCTGTAGAGATAGAAACCGGATGACTTGTGGTAGAGGATGCCATGAAGCCATATTCTACCAAGAGCCTATCGTTGGAACGCGAACCATATGTGAAAACGATTTCCGTGTTCGCCGCTGGGATTCCATCAGCGAACCTTATGTGCAAATGTAATGTAGCAAGAGCCCCCCGACCATGATGGCCGAAACATGATCGCTGCTATGCATGCTCCGGAGGAAATGAAGATTGCATTGCAAAGAACAACGGAGAACGCTTCTTGCAAAGAAAAAAGATAAAAAATAGTAGAATGACGCACTTACCGTAGTCTCTGTCAAGAACAGCTTCATAGCCATTCCTGGTTTGCTCTACCTTGATCCCAGAACCGCTTGGTCCATGGTTTGCAAAATCGAGAAACGGGCACATGATTGTGTAGGCTGGAGAGTTGCCTACAGGCTTGAAGTGAAAGCCTCTTGTGGATACGATACACCAATAGTACAGAAACTCGGGGTTGTCGAATCCTTGGCCACATAGTTGTGCCGCCGCATTTAGATCGCGGCCATACTCCTCGATTTGGTCCTTGAGCAGATCTTGGGTGGCTGGTGGCAGCAGTCTCTGAAGACTTGGTTCCCACTGTATGGGCATACAAGCCGCAAGGTCTACTCGACTCGGCCAGGTTGCTTCCCATAATCGTAATGGCGAATCGACCTTGCGACATTCGGCCATCAAAGTCATTGCGAGTTGCGCTTGACGCGATATCTCCTTGTGCATGTCAGGTTTACTCGTACCAGAAGCGCTGATGACCGGCCTCAGCATGGCCTTGTTCGGTACTAGCACAATGCGTTGGCCTTGCTTCAAATCTTCTATGGCAACAAGGCCAAGTCCACGCCCGGGAAGCAGCGCTGGAGCAACGCCAGAGATCTGAATCCCGCGAGATTGGCTCCATTGTGTGAAGTATTCGAGTTTGTCGATGCTATTACCGACGACTGCGGTATTGCTAGATTCGACTTGGCTTGTCATGACTCTTGGCGAATCCCGCTGATATGCCATGACATGTACAATCCCGGAAACATGTAGTAGTTCAGATTCATTGAACTTTCTCATCGCGCGAACCCATGGTCCGTGCACAAAATTTTGGTCGCCGACTGTTTGCAGAAAGTGCAATTTGTACATTTTCGGTACGAATGTTGCCGTGCATCTTGCCTGCTGGCCAGACACGCAGTCGAGCATGGACACCGAAACGATCACAGATCTGGTGGAGGATCTTGCCGGCGACATTGACGCCCTCGAAGAAGCACTCGCGCCACTCATAAGCGAAGCGCTCGCAGCCAGCACGAGCAAGCTCCCGCTTCTCGACAAAGCCAAACTTTACGTCCTGGCAACCTACGCAATCGAATCGATCCTTTTCTCATACCTTCGACTCAATGGCGTTCAGGCGAAAGAGCATCCTATCTTCCGCGAACTCACCCGCGTGAAGGAATACTTTGGCAAGATCAAAGCAGCGGAAGGAATCAGTGTTGATGGTAACGCGTCTGGCGCACGACTCGATAAGACCGCTGCAGACCGTGTGATCAAAGCTGGTCTGTCCGGAAATGCGCGGCATGATCAGGCGAGGCTAGCTAGAGAGACTGCGGGTGCAAAGCGGCGATTAGAAGACATGGGCGCGGGTAAGCACATGCGATTTGACGATGCGCCCAAGAAGGCCAAGGCCGCAGCACCACAGCAGCAGGTCCGCGTCGTGAAGTTTGACGACATTGACGACTCGTCCTCGTCGTCCTCGGACGACGAAGCTGCTAACGGGTCTAATGAGTCATCCCAAGTGAATGCTGCGAAAGACGATGACTCGAAACCCAACGCAAAGTCCAGCAAAAAGCCTAAGAAAAAGGCCCGACAGGAAGGATAAATCCAGAGACGGGAGCCAGATTTCAAGATTAGCCACAAAGGAAATGGTGACCACAGTTGGGACAGCAGCCAGGAAGAGAAGGCGCTGCTCTGCGCGTCGGAAGGGAAGGCAGCCACGAAGTTGTACAGGTTCTAGCTTCTCCAGAAGCCCAAGCCAAGGCCGCACTATTTCCCATCGTCAGCGAGGATATACTTGGCCCCTCAAGTGCACTCCAATACAGGAGACTCCCAAACTTTGTTGGCTCTCCCTGGAAAAAAATTATCGCTGTGCACCATCTCGACCTTAATTCTCACGAGTACAACAGTGGTGTCAATGACTATCACATCATCGTCACGCATGCAGCCTTAGAAGATTCGAACTTCACGAAAGAAGACCTGCAAAATGGAGGCGGCGAAGGAAAATCTTTGAGGTAGAAGAGGGTTCGGAGAAGAGGGATGAGGGAGTTACGACTGTGCCGCCTTTTCATGTGAATAGGTGAAATGCAGCGTCAGGGGAGGTTGTGGGGGCTGATGGGAACCACTGGGCGTTTCGGTGATGCACAGCGGAAAATTGAGACATGTTATAGTGGCAGAAATGATGGCATTGCTCTATGCATTCGGAGGGAGTTCTCTTCCTTCCAGCTGCTGACTAAACTTCAATAACAAGTCAATGCCGCTTCTCTGGATCATGTCGAGGACATTTCAAGTATCGAAAGTCCTCTGACAGGGGTGCGTCTAGATCAGCGCCGGTCAAGAGAAACTATTCCGGGCATGCAGTATTACCGTGATAAAATTTAAACCCTCCCGCATCACAAAATATGTCTTTGCAAGTCCGGTAGATAGCGAGAGAGGTATAGAGGAAAGCAGAGCACCTACATTGAGCGATACCCACATTTCTCCACAGCCCCAGAAAGTCCACGCAAGGCTGTTGTCCAATTTCGTAGTATCTGCATGCTCAGATGGTATGAAGCACCTGGGAAAGGATGCGAAAGCGCTGCGGAGCCAAACACTAATGAGACCGCTGAGAGAGTCTACATCAGCTTCTCCGGGTCTCGACATGCCGTAAGTAGCACGCTTGCAAATGATCAACAAGCGAGATGCAAATCGGAATCCAGCCTTTGGAGGAATGTGACCGATTGGCATCATCCTGAAATATCCCATGATTGGCGGAACTGCAAAAGATCTTTTTGTCCAAAGACCTGGCCAACGACAGTGAGAATCATATCTAACGTCGCCTGCGTATTAGCGGTAGGACCAGCACCGGGTTCAATATCATCGCCATTTGGCAGTGATGGAGGTGTAGAAGCGACGGCCTCTTCCTCTTGCTCTAACGCCTCGATCCCTGCGGCCGCCTCGGGATTGGCGAATGAGAGGTGCACGAAGAGCGCTTTCTTACCCAGTTGTCGTAGCGGGTAGATCTCGTCGTTATATAGATTACTCACGTCATCGAGGCGGGCGAGGAGAGACCAGACCCACGCGCTGGTGATGGAGTTTACATCGGTGGCTTTGACGAGGCAGGAGTCTGCTATCAATTCCAGGAGTTGCAAAGCCGTAGACTGATCGATGGACCGTATTTGCGCAGGTAGAGGGGGATGTGTGCGGAGTTGCGTGAGCCAGTGGGATTTGGCTTTGCTGCTGTTGGAAGGAAATGAGATGAGGACATCGTCGGAAAGAGCGGTGAGCTCTTCAACTGTTGCGGGTATATGTAGTTGTGTCCGTTGATGCTGAAAGCGCTGAATCAAGCGTTCTGTGAAGACAGTCTTGGGATCGAGGGAGTCCTCTGGTGCTGTGATTACTGTGCGCGTTCGGGCGAAGAACGCGCCGTCTTCATAAGCCGCTTCCTCGCCGTCCTCGGTGCATTGTTTGACTGAATTCCTGTCCGCTTGTGCGGAACCTCCAGCGAAAAGTATCTGAGGTATCTCATTCCGTTCCGATTGTACTGCTCGCATGTATCTTGCAACTTCCTGATCCGACTCATCGCCGCCGTCGTCATCGTCTGGCACCTGTATGCAGCCACTTGTGTCCGCATTCTTTTTGGTTTGCCGCGATTTTGATATTTGAAAGTCTCGATATTCGGGTGATTTCCTGGCTTGCTCCGTCGCGGGTATTGGTTGTGCGGGCTCATCTGGTACACCAGGCTCATAGTCATCGTCGTTCTGCGCTATGGACACAACTGGTCTGCTCGTTTGCCTATCCTCTGTAGTTTCTTGTGCATTCGACAGCGGTATGTCCTTCGCGCGACTTAGAGATACTATTTTCTCCTCTTCGACATGAAATTCACTGGTATCTTCATCTTCACTCTCCGCATAGCTCAGATGTACTCTCTTGTTAGGATTATACAACGATTCCGGTCCGGCCTTGGGTCGATCGCGCTCTCTTCGACGTTTCGTCATTATCAATTCATTAGAGCAAGTTATGCGCACATGGAAATGGACAGACCAAATCGATGTAATCGGTGGATGCGGCGTAGTGCTGGACTTCGTCATTGGCGTGAGTACAAAATCTTATGACTCAGCCGAGAATGACGCGCTAGTGCACGATGTCACGTCCGTACATTCACACACACGTTCTGTCGTGTACTCCAGTATAAGTGCGACCAGCCACGAAAATGCCTCAGTGTGGATCTGAATATCTGCGACTTGTGCATACATGTTGAACGAATATAGAGAAAACACATAGTACAAGATTCTGCTTACTACGATACGCCCGGGTTTCATCACGCAGAAATCGCGTACGCCGTGCTTACTGGAACTTCCAACCCTTCGTTCGCTTTGAAAAGAGGCCCTGAGGATCGACCTGCTTCTGAATCTGAGCCAATCGATTATACGTCTCTTCGCCATAGCTCTGCAAAGGATCCTGGTTGTACATGGCATCATTCATGAAGATCGGGTTGAAATTCGTGAAACTCAAGTTCCCACTCTTGTAGTTGGTCGGGGCCGTGTTGGAGTACTTCGCTCTTTGGTAATCGGCAACTGGCTGTGTGACCTCCTCGATGTACTTCGCCGCGAGAGTATCCGAGGTTGGGAGGAGCCATGAGAGATCGTACTCCATGAAAATGTGGTCACCTGTCTCCGGGAGCATTCCTAGGCGGTTGCCGCCGGACGGAGACGTAGCTGACGCCTCAATCAACTGATGGGGGACAGGCTGGAAGGCTATGTTGAAGACCAAGTTGTCTACAGCTCCGAGGACGCGCAGCATCGAGGCGTCGTGCCAACTGTTGAAGGTATAGTTGAAGAGATCCATACCGATCGAGCCGGGCAGGCTTGGAATGGTGTTCTCTCGGATCAAGTAACGCATGCCATCGAAAGCGAATTGACCGTTATCCTTCAGCAGATCCCCAAACAGCCATCCGGCTTTAGTTTGGTCACTCAGAGCCTCGATCGCGTTGAACTCGTCCAAGATGGCCCCAGGGCCAGCTGCATCGTTGTAGAAGTAGAACACGACAAAGATCTGTACCAGGTCCAAGAGCGTAGTGGTGAAGGTGACAATGACCGCCGCTTTGGGATCGTAGTAATTGGAGGCAAGGTTGTGCGTTGCCCGCAGAAGTTCTGCTTTCTTGTCCAAGGTGTAAATCCTGTGGCCACCCCACACTCTTCCAATGGGATATGTCTGCATGATGAACGTTGTGACGATGGCGAACTGATTCCCGCCGCCCTTCAAAGCTCAGAAGATGTCCGGATTGATTGTCGCGTTGGCCTGAGTGACTTCGCCAGCCGCAGTGACAATCTCATAGCTTACGACGTTATCGGCAGTGAAACCCTGCGGTGAAGTCAGCTTCATGCCTGCATGCTTTGAACGTAGACTCGAGTGCTAACATATTCAGTGCTCAGGAAACTCAGACCACCGCCTAAAGTCAAACCAGCGACTCCGACGGGACCGAGGCGACCAGCAACCACAGCGCGGCCGTAACTATCCAGAACGCTCTGCGCAGGACCCCAGCGACTGCCAGCACCAATATGAGCACGGTTCTCATCGTCCAAGAAAGTACTATTCATCTTCTCCAGCGCGATTAAGACACCACCACCCGCAGACGAGAACCCAACATTGGGGTTGTGACCTGCACCCTTGACAGCCCACTGCACGGAGGGGTTCTGATTGAGGACGAGAACGGCAGAAGCAACGTCCGAGGCGGCCGTGGGGAGAAAGACGCATTCGGGCAAGTTCGCGGGATCGGAGTTGGCCTTGCTCCAGTACTTCTGCGTGGCCTCGGTATAGTCATCGTTCAAGGAGGAATTCAAGCTCAAGCCATAGACAACCTGGCCAGGGTGGGTTTTCTGAAGAGATCCACAGGCGATGGAGGCAGGAGATTGTTGGCTCGAATCTGCGAATGCGAGCGCGAATAGAGGAGAGAGAAGAAATGCAGTCTGGGCTGCACTGCGAAACAACGCCATTTTGCACCCGTAGATGGTAAATGATAGAACTGTTCGCTGGGAGACGCGGCGCTCGGTGGGCGTGCCATCACGCATATATAAGGGTCATCCCCGCGTGGTGCACAGCCGCACGTGATGCACACCTCCAGCCATTTTCCACCCTCAACTTCAATAATTAATAACTTTACAACGAGTGGTTCAAATGACCTCAAATTTGAACAGGGCGCAGTTTATAATGAATGTATTTAGCTGTCCAAGTGATATTGCTCTAGATGCTTTGGTCGCCGAAGGGCGCGGCCACTCCGCTGTGACACCAGAACTGGCTCCGATAGGGATACCGGCTCTTCGAGGGCTACAGCAGGAGCAGCAGGTATTGCCACGACCGCAGACTGCTTCGTCTGCTTCGGACGAGCCTTAGTCTTCTTCGCTGACTGCAGAAGGGTCGTTTGAAGCTGTACTGCCGCCGCCTTCGTCTCTTGGAGAGCGCGCTTCTCCGCTGCCTTGCTTCGAGCCTCCTCCGCCCTCACCTCGGACTGCTTCTTCCGCTCTAGACGACGTTGTTCCAGCTCATGTTGCTTTGCTAGCAACGCTGCCTTCGAGGCTTCCTTCTGAGCTGCTTTTGAAGCCGCTACAGCCACTGCTTCGGCTTCCTTTTGAACCTGCAGCTGCTTAGCAGTCATAATCTTCTGAGGCGAGAAGAAGGTTGACCCTTGATTATCCTGAGACCTCACTTCTTCGAAGAGCGCCTTCCCACGCTTCCGCTTCTTCTTCTCATTAATAAGAGCTGTTTTGAAGCTATCATTTTGAACCTTAAGCAGCGCGTTCTGAGTTTGAAGGGCGTGTAGTGTATTTTGCAGAATAACGGCTTTCTTCCTCGAATCCTCGTCGTATACCTCTTGAACCACGTCTTTGAAGAGCGCTCTTACCTTCCGAAGGTCAGAGGCAGACAGTATTGAGGTACTGGAGCCCTGAGAACACGGTCGGCTGGCTGTAGCAACTGCCTGTGGTTCTAATGGCCGGAGGACTTCGGAGGGGTCAAATGGATGAATACCGGTCCTTCGCCACGCAGAGCACACGTTGTCCACGGAGAAGGCCTTAATAAAGGCCGGCCAGAAGAGCCGGAAGAAGTCACGCTTCGTTATCGAGCTCAAGCCCTGGCAGTCCCTTATAAACACGTCCAGCTCTTGACTGTAGTAAATTGCGAGCGGCGAGAACAACGCGACGTCTAATGGCTGTAAACGGTGCGTAGAATGAGGTGGATACACTGCTACTAGTATCCGGTTGTCACTGCAGTATTGTAAGAAGGCCATATTGATATGAGAACCGTGTCCGTCGACGAAGAGCAGCCGCCAAGCCCTTCCAGCCTTCGCCTTCGTATATCGGTCAAATACCTGAGTGAGCCACGCCAGTCCGAGTTGATTATCCGTCCAGCCATTGGGCGAAGACGCGAAGAAAGCCTCTTCGTGTCCGAAGTCCTGTACCCACGACTCTTGAATATTACCTGTTGAGGCCTTATAAATTAGAGCAGGTGGAATCCAGCCGCCGTCAGCGCAGATACAGGCTACAGTCGTTACCCACTCGCGGCTACCGTCCTGTACATTGCCTACGAGCTTCTTCTGCTGTACGGCCGCTTTCGTGAAGACTCTCTTCGCCTTCGAGAGGAAGCCAATAAGGAAGCCCTTCTCATCCATATTATAGATGTTCGCAGGCTGTACGCTGTATTGCTCAATTTTCTGTTCAATAAGGTCGAAGTACGCCTTGTATTCATCATAGTTATCCGCCTTCTGCCTCGCTACATCAAATGGCCTCAAATACCGTGATTCAAGGTCATTCTTCCACCTGCTTAGGAAGCGTCCCATCCAGCTCTTTCCAGGGTAGCGGCCACTGATATCGTGCACAAAGGTATGGACCATGGCCGGAGTAGGTGGCAAACCACGTGCAGTGAGGTTTTGGATGTATTTGACGAGCTCACCCTCCTGCGCCTTTGTCAATATTTGCTGGTTCTCATGTTTATAGCTTCGAGAATTTGTCACGCCATTGAATCGCTTGCTGAGAGTCGATCGGTCCACGGAGAACAGCCTGGCTGCCTCTGAGATATTCGGCTGGTCTTGTTCTTTCAAATAAGCCACTGCTCGTTCAATTTGGTCCCTCATTGATGAAGTTATACGCGTTCAAAGCTGATGCTTCATTTGGAGTCCATTCAAAGCGGACTGTGCATCACGTGCGGCTGTGCACCACGCGGGGATGACCCTTACATGAGCGTAGGTATAAATGTATATCCAGACGTCCGACCAGCTGATCCAATTGGTCCCCGAAGTGGTTCACGGGTGATCACGCCTCACATGGAGGGATCAGCCGGCCGGTACGACGAATGATTTGCGCTTGTGAACGTTCCCACATTTTTCCGATACAGATTGTGAACTTAGTCGCAACTCAATTGGATGTTGTAGGTACGAGCCTATCACAGAGGTGGTCAGCAATGCCAAATGCGAACAAGGCAAAATGCGCTTCCCAAAAGCGGAAATCGATTCAAACTTCATACAACCCGATTGGATGAACGGCGCCGGTGGTCCAGCTAATTTCTTCGGTACGAGAGCTTAATATACTCTAATGCTGAGGTCGAAACACCACAGCTTCTTGCTCCCCATACATAATTCAGAACATTTCCTGCCGCAGATCGTTGGCGTCGATTCTGGGATACAAAACATCTGTCCTGACCGCCACGTCGAGACAAACACTGGGACCTACAAAATCCTGCCAGTAGTGATATCCACTATGTTTTTGTGATTTGCCAACGAGGTGGCTTGTGAGTCGATGCGTTCAGTCAAAACACCCTAAGTCTTCGCCTTTCATGGATATGTATGAAATCGTGGTCACTACTGCACGAGGGAGAAACCAGACGGGTGTATCATTTCTCCCATTTGTGCAGAAATTATGCCGAATCACATACACGCGCTGTTTCGACAGAGATGACTTATGGCCTCAAAACACAAACGCGCGCGCACAAATAAGCAAGTGTGCAATGAATGAGTCTAATCCTCGTCCTGGTAGGAAATTTTCCGCATTTCACCCAAGCGATGTCTCGCCGCGCTGAGGGCGTTCTCGAGTTGTAAGATTTCGACCTGGGAAGGGCGCAAGACGTGTTAGCAACCTAGGACTGCGACGTGGTCACATATGCAAGAGGAAGGAAATGGGAAAGAAGAACAACTCACCTGCTGCTCCATCTGCCGGACCTTGAAATCGTGTCCACTGAGCGCAGCATAGTCCACTACCTCATCGCCATCCTTCTGTTTCGCCTCGATAATACTCTGGACCTGTCTAACCAAACCCCTGCACGCACTAGTGACGGCCTTCGAGCACTCCTCCAGACGTTCCTGAGTCCGGCTCTGGAAAGAGGCCTTGACACGGCTCGCAGCGACGAGCTGTGCGGTGGATGCAGCGACATCGTTGGAGGCGACGATGAGCTGTTCGGGGGAGTTGCGGCCGGAAATGACGCCGTCGGCGGTCTCGATGAGGGTGTTTGTGGAGCGGGCGACGGCTTTGGCGGCAGAGATGAGACCTTCGGTCCAGCGGTTGTTTTTCTTGTAGAATTGCGTTTTGCTGCTGTTGCCGCGGCCCTGTTGGACGATCTCTTGTTGGGAGGCGGTTGCGGCTTTGATGAGTTGCGCGATGGCCGAGGTGACGGCGATGGCAGCGTTGAGGATGCTGTCGTGGATTTTGAGCTCGTAGGTGGTGTATTGGTCGCGGGGCTTGTTCATGAGCTTGGTGAGGCGCTCGGTGGCGGCGTCGATAGCTTTGGCGGCGTTGGTCATTTCGCGGTCGACGAGCTCGCCAAGATCGCCGGATTGGTTGGTGATTTTGTTGGTCTTGGGCGCGAAGGCATCGGCGAGTTTGGTGAGGTTGTTGAGGGCGATTTGGACATCATTGTTCTTGTTGATCACAACATCCGTCTTTTGCAGATCCTCGAGACCATCCAATCGGTATGACTCGATACCCCGGAAGAAGTCGATGCTTGCAGTGGCTGATCGGCGGGCAGCAGCGATAAGTTGGTCCCCCTTCCTGTCATCGTTCGCGAAACGAATGAGACCCTTGGTGTTCGACAGAACATCCGCAATCGCATTTGAGAAAGAGTGCGCAGTCTTGATGACTTCGGCGTGGGTGCTGTTAGGACCATCAGCGATAAAGCCATTGAATGCTGTGCTGAACTCCATCGCTGTGCTTTGGGCCTTTTCAATCTGAGAGAGCACATATGGTCCAGTCGCGTTCTGGTTACCTGCTTGATTCGCGCTGTCAAGCTCATACAAGGCATCATCGATTCTCCGCACACCTGCCTGCAGAATGGAGTCGATGATGTCGTTGATTTTCTTGATGTTGTCTAGGAGCAGAACATCAATCTGCTCATCCATAGCCTTATCCACAGCGCCGCCACCGTTCTGCAGCTCCGCCAGATCGAGAAGGGCCTGGTCCAAGCTGGATTTGTAAATCTCGAGTTCTTCCTCCTTCTCGCGTAATTGACGCTCAAGATCGGAGCTACCCTCGCCCAGCTTTGACTGGGTTTGGTCCAAAGCACGAGTCTTGTTGCGAAGAGCTTCCTCCAAGTCGGCAATCTCACGGTTGTGCCTTGACAAAAGCGCCGAAAGTTCGCTTCCCTTGGAACGCTCAGAGTTCTCAGCACGGTCGAGGGCCATACGCAACTCGCGTCGGAGTTTCTCGAGCTCGTCGCGGTGACCGCCTGTAGTGCGATCCTTGTCGTGAAGAGCACGGTCTCTCTCCCGGATCATGTCTGCAAGCTCGAGATTCTTCGTCTTGAGCTCACGCTCGAGCTTCTCTCGCTTGTCGATGGCTTCTTGAGCAGAGGCAGCCTTTAATTGGACGCCCTTGAATTTCTGCAGAAGCTCAAGATGCTCGTGTCGCAGCTGGCTGTAGAGTTTCGCGAGAGCCTCGTACTTTGTTCGCCAGGTGTTGACTTGCTCCTGCAGAGCTCGGATCTGGTCGTCTTTGCTTTGCGATTGCTGTTGGAATGTCTGGTTGAGTTGTGCGAGTTCCGTCTCCAGAGCCTTCATTCGACGATCGTATTGCTCGAGCATGAGCTGATCGCGCTCGTACTGTGCGCGCGCGTTCAAATTCTCACGCTCTAACTCAGCCATACGCCCTTGGGTCTGCTGGTTGTATTGGTCCCTCTGCAGCGCCTCCAATTGCAATCTTTGCTGCTCCGCCTGCAGCCGTTGCTGCTCCTCAAAGTCGCGTTGTGCCTGCAATTGCGCCTGCTGTTGCTGCCTCTGCGCATCCTGCCATTGTTGTTGCAGACGTGCCTGCTCTTGAGCATACTCCTCCTGCTGCCTGGCCTGCTCATTCTGCCAAAATTCATTCATGGGCTCGGGCTCCGCTTGCACTGGTGGTGAAGGCTCACGAGGCTTGGGTGCCTCTGCCTTGGGACGTGAAGGGAGACCGGGCGCGCTCTCATCCTCAGTGAGCAGGTTTGGTGGGTCCTGAGGAAGCTTCGGGATTGTGATGAGAGAGGTAAGGTAGCGAAGGTTGGCGCATTCGCCGTAAAAGTGTTGGAGGCGGTAGTGCTGCGCGTCGTATCGTCCACGGAGCGGGCTCAAGGCATCATCGTCGCCGAGGGTGGTGTGCATGGCGCGGAGCATGCTGGTCACGAATTTGTAGATACCGTAACTCTCCTGTACCAGTGGCACCAGCGCGCTGATGCGGCACTCGTTGTTCGACCCCGATCGGAAATGCGCAAAGATCAATTTCTGGAAAGTATCAATCTGATCCTGCAGCGTCATGAGCTCGGAGATGGTCTCATAACCCTCGTTGGGGTCATTGATCGACCTCAGGGAAATGTACTCCTCGTATTCAAACGTGCCGTTGAACTCAACGTGGTCGCGATGAAAGCGCAGCTTCGACATGAGAAAGCGCACATATTCCTTGATGAGAGGATGGTACCCACGAGCGCCGTCTATCCCTCCACCGCCCATGCCGCGAGACAGGCTTTCGATCCATTGCATCTGCGACTGCGCCTCGACCAATGCAGATTTGTGACCCTCCTGCAGAACCTTGTGGATGGTGTAGAGGGCCTTGAAGGTCTGGATCTCATCGGCCTGGATGGGCTGGACCTTCATGCCATTCCAGAAACCCGCGCTGTTCCGGTGGTCCCAGGTATAGACGATGCATGCGCGGACATGTTTGCGCTTGGGCGCGGTCTCCTCGACGGTGGTGGCCTTGCGGATGTTGTTGGCCAATTCCGACTCTTGCTTGCTCAGGTCGACATTGCGACCTCCCAAGCCGGACATTTTGGATTTTCCTCTGGAGCTGTCGGTGGGTGTGGTGGTGAGGGAAGAGTTCTGGCCGGACCGCGGCGGCGGGACATAGACGTTGAAGGGAGCGGACGCCAGGGTGACGGTATTGTCGGGGGATGATGACGAAACTTTACCGTTGGATTTACAGGATATAGTATCCCAAGAGGAGAGAACGGCCGAGATGCGCGTATATATTTCGAATTATGATAGTAACAGATCTGAATACAAGACAGAATGAAATATATCGATTCCTACAGCGGCACAGCTCCAATCTGACCTGCAGCCTAATCCCACATCAAGTACTGTACATTCATGCTGTACACATTTCACTAAACAAAAAAGCCGCGTCACAAACGGCGAATTGAGCTCCCGCGCGCATCGAGAGGGATGAGAGAGCTCGAGACGGGACGAATTGACGCCTCGTTTCTTGGCATACACGTCACTTCTAGAAGCAGACAGTTCTCACAACTCCATGATCATCAATCACGATACCGTACTCACTCACTTCACGATATATACCATTGAATCATTCCAACAAAGCACAATGCATTGATAACTCAATCTACCAAAAGTTCCAATCACACGAATCCAAAAAAGCAACTCAAAAGCCATTCAAGACGACCGTCGTCTGTAGCTATCTTCGTCCCTCGTGAACCAACGTTGCCGTGCTTCCTGTTCCTGAAAGATGCACCATCGTCAGCGTCAGCATCCTTCACCACCAAGATTTGAACGAGTAGGAACAGAAACAGGTTCGAATGTGACAGGAGTAAAGGCTCACCTCTCGTCGTCGTCGCTTCATGTCCGCGCGTTTCTGTCGATTGATCGGCGATGTGGGATGGACGCCTATTTTCTGAAGGACGCGTTCTGATGAGGCGGAAAGATGAAACGATGATGGTTTGTCAGTTGAGCACTTTTTCTTCTCGCTGCGGAGGCTTGTTGAGGAAAGAAAGGGAGGAATGTGTGGAGAGGAGAATCTCACCTCCGAGGCTCTTTGTGACAACCTCTTTGCTCCCGGCACCTTCTTCCTCCTTGTCCCTTGCAGCACTTCCCTGGCCGGTCTCGTCTTGGACAATCTCTTTCACTCCTCCTCCTCCTCCTCCTCCTCCTCCTCCTCCTCCTTCTTCTTCGTTCCCCTTCCTTGCGTTTTCCTTCTCCTTCCCACCTCCTTCCAGTCCGCCTGCAGCCCTAATCGCCCGCACCGCCGCATCGTCATCGGCAGGAGCAAGATCCTTTCTCTCACGTCTGACATACGCGCTCTCGTACCGGATCCGTTTCTCATCCTCAGCAATCTTGCGTCGCAGAGAATCGACTTGCGACAACAGCGTCTCAGAAGGAGTTCGACGGAAGCGCGACGGCATTCCATCTTGCGAGACGTCGTCTGCCGTGTAATTTGTCGAACGTTGGAGGGCGCGGCGGGCGGTGCTCGTTTTGCGGTGTTGCTTGGGATGGTGGTGATGGCGCGCAGGGTAGCGTTGGCGAGCGCGATATTGTTGTTGCTCCGGGTACCGGTGGGTGGCAGGGTATTGGTGTTGACCAGGAAATCGGTTCTGACAAGGGTATCGCTGTTGAGTAGAGTACTGCTGCGGAGCTGTATACTGTTGCTGTGGTGGGTATTCTCGTTGTTGAGCAGGGTACTGGTATTGGACAGGGTATTGCTGAGGAGGTGGAGGTGGAGGTGGAGGCGGAGGGGTTTGATACTGAGCGGGGAACTGTTGTGGTGGTAGAACAGGGTACTGGTATTGGGCAGGCCATTGCTGTTGAACAACGTAATGGTACGGGTACTGGGTAGAGGCCGAGGGAGGATCGTAGTGCTGACGAAGGGGAAGACTGAGTGCTCCCTGCGTCTCCTGTCGAGGTTCAGGAAAGCCGCTGGGCGACCAACTGAATTGCTCCTCACTCTCTGGAACCGAAGGCACCGGCGACTCATCTTTCGGGAACAATTGTTCGTGGGCTTGGAGAGCGGCGATGGTCAGAGGAGTTCCAGGAGACTCTTTCATGAAAAGCTCGGGGCTGGATGCTCGGGTCCATAGAGGATAATGGTTTTCTCGGTGCCACGGGGATTGCTGATTGAGTGGAGGGTCCTCGATCGGTCCGGGATGAGCTTACATGCGTTGTCAGTGAAGAAGATGTCATGGTTGAGTCTGTATATCAGATACCTTGAGCGACATCATACCTTGGCTGATCTCTTGGCTGATCTTCCGCCGACTTCGGCTCCGAGGGAGCGAGTCTACGCCAGAAACCATCCTCATCTAGATAACGCGGATAGTCGTCTTGAGCAGGCACGATGGCATCCTCGTCGTCTCGAGCAGGTCGCTTGCCCTTCATGCCGACCGCCTTCGCGGTGGCAGGCTGGGTCTTATGCGGTATATTGTCTCGAACAGGCTGCTTGCCTTGCTTATTTCCTGCTTTGGTATTGGCAGATTCGGGAGCAGTCGACATTTTTCGGGGACCGTCCATCCTGTTCGGAGGCTCGCTTGGTTTGGTTTGAGGAATACTTGATTCTACTACTTGCTCGCTCAACCGCTCACCACGAGGACCTACCAGTGACGCCCGAGAACCGGCACCAGGCTTTTCAACCTCGGGCTCTTCTCTCGGGAGTGGAGTTTTCTTGTCGGGTTGAGAGGCATCAACCCCACCCGCCATCTCTGGTGCACCTGGATTCCAATCCATGAAGGGGTTCGAGGTCGCTGCAGCTCTCACCTCGTCGCTCACATCCTGTGGCGGCGAGCCTGGAGGCGGTACGCGAGTATTCAACATAGCCGCCGCGATGTCATCATTACTCGCGTCTTCTTGTGACCCATCAGGTGGTGCTTGCATCGTCCAGGGCTCGATCGGCAAAGAGAGGGACAACCCCGTCCACTGCTCGCATTCAGGATCTCCAAGGCCCATCCTCATCATACCGTTGAAAACAGTGTCACGACGAATGTGCTCTGCCTTGTTCTCCGCGCGCTTGATCGCGGAGGCACGTTTCTGTGCAGCTTTTCGTGCAGGGCCATGCGGCACGAAGACTGATGGATCTGCGAGACGAGGTCGTTGTTCGATCGGCACGCTAGGCGAGCTGCCTTTGATGTAAGTCTTGAGCTTGGAAATGCTGGCACGGATTCGAGCACGTGGTCGAGCGGCCGCTGCACACTCTGCGCAATGGCAATCAGGCAATTCTCCCTCGGTGTTCATGCTGAGAGAGTTGAGGGGAAATATGTCGGTTGATCCCCGACAGATATGGCCACAATGCTTGCGAAGGGGCTGCTCATCGGCAGCAAATGGCGGCGGACGTGGCCAGTCGAGTGCATCCTATGCTCCGGTGTAGGTACTCGGGTCGGTCTTCTTTCCCTGGACGATTCGCTGTTTTTTGCGGTCCCAAAATTTTCTCAAGATACCGAGCTCCATAGCAGCATCGCGCCGGTAGCGCTCCAGTTCGATTCTTTGCATGCAGTCGAATTGGACTCTCTGCTCGGCGTTCTTGAGGTAGACCGGGCAATCGGCGGCGACATTCACAAGCCATCGGCGACTGGAAGACTGATATTCCTTTTCTCGTTTCACAAACAGCTCACGCTCTTTGGTCTCAACCTCCTCCGCTGGTGGTGCAGACGCCACAACTTTGGCAGCGTGTCCGAATATGGTCATGGGTTCCTCGCGGACATCCTCGCGGGCATGTCTGTCCATCAGAAACGCTTGCGAGTGAAGGTATCCAGAAAGGCGCCATAAATATCGGTGACTTGCCCATTCATCCTGAGACTTCAAGCTGAATGATTGCTTCCGGGCTTTAGCGTAGATATCCTGAGGGTCAGTGGCCGCTGCGACCTCGGATCGACGCTTGATGAGGAGGTCGTACTGTTGCAGGTTGGTCAAGAACTTGGGATCTCTGCTTGGTGGGGGAAGCTGGCGGTGGATGATTTCGTTCTGCCAGCTTGGATCGGGATCACCAGTGTACCAGTATGGAACATCCACTGGAGGCAGGCCGCTTGTAGCTCTCCAAGGATTGTCGGAGCTCATCAATCGCGTTTGTCCCCGACTACTGGCCTCGCTAGAATCGGCTTCGTGAGTGGAATCGGCTCCGTGAGATGTAGTGTGCACTCCAGCATTGGATGGCCCCGTAGGCATCGAAGGCTGATAGTTGGCTGCTCCACCCTTTTCGCCGCGCGTTATCATGACATCGGGAGGCATTGAAGCTGTCGTTGCCTGTCCGGAACGGGCAAGGTTTGCGGTGGGTTGTTCCGCCATCGCTCGAGCAGGAGGTGTAAGATCAGGTGAAGGATCGTTGACAGTAGCTGACATCGGTGGAGAGAGGAGGTTCCGGACGAACTGATCGGCCAGCCGTTGCCGTCTCGACATCGTTTAGGCTTATAAAGTTTTATCAGCAAGCAACGCCGGCAATCCTGGTGACAAGCTGCTATCCCGCAAGTTTCCCAAATTGCAAAACTACCAGTGTTGCTGTCAATGCGAGCTTGGAGTCAAGACGATTGGACTCAGGCGATCTTGTCTGTCGACAGGTGGTAGCTTGGCTTGGAAAACGCGGCACTGCATACACAGATCTACGTCAGCGTTGCCATTCGCCTGCGGCCAGGGGGAGTGAGCAGAAGGATGGCCCACGAACCAGAAGTGATGGCCCTCGAGCGCTTTGAGTTGTGATGCGATGCAATGCTGGTTTCGTGCGATGGTATTGAAGACTTTCGTTTGTTTTGTTGTGAGGCCAACGAGAGACGGTAGCGATGTGTGAAAGATTAATGCGAGTGGGATCGATGCCGACAATTGCACATTGCACCGTGATGTTACAGATAACGAAGCGATGATGAAAATTAGTGTAGTAAAGGATGGAGAGGTTGAACATTTTGAAAAATTTCGTTTCTTCACTACTTGAAGTGCACCTGCTATGTCAAGAAAGTCATCGCCGGACGCCGGAGAAGGAACACTCATGCAGAAAACGGGCAATCACGCCTCGCAGAGAACTACCTCTGTCTGCACTGTACCTCCCCATGATATTGAAAGAGATTTTCGTCAAGTCGGAGAAGTTACAAACGAACACGGCGTATATGGTCATGGAAGGATCATTACACTCTAGTTCGCGGCGTTGTAAGCGCGTCTTCGGTCACGCTCCTCAGCAATGCTGAGCTTCACACCCTTGCCCTTGGGCAGGCTGACCCACGGCTTTTCACGGCCAATGACGAAGACGTTGGACTCACGAGTGGCAAACTCGTTGTCGATGGCGTCCTTGATGTGAACGATGTTGAAACCTCCATCGTGACGCTCACGGTGGGTGATGATACCAACACGACCCATGTTACGTCCACCAGTGGCCATGGCGATGACGCCAGTGTCGAATCGGATGAAGTCCTCAATCTTGCCTATAATCCATTTGTCAATTTCACATCCTCTCCATCTCATCCTCGGCAAATCGTATGCTTACCAGTCTCGAGGTTGATCTTGACGGTGTCGTTGACCTTGATCGCAGGGTCGGGGTATCGGATACTATAGAATTCTATCAGCTCTTGCGCCTGCCAAAACTTGGTCCAACGTCTGATAGACTGTTCACGGAGGAAATACTCACGTGCGTGCGTCATGCGTAACCAAGAATGGAATGCCGCCCTTGCCAAGTTGTACTCTCTTAACCTTGCCCAACTTGTATTGTGCCTCCTCGGATGTGATGCGGTGGACGGTGAAACGGCCCTTGGTGTCGTAGATCAACCGGAAGTTCTCGCCGGTCTTCTCGATTCCGATGACATCCATGAAACCAGCTGGGAAGGTAGGGTCGGTGCGGACCTTGCCATCGACCTTGATCAGGCGCTGCATGACAATGGCCTTGGTTTCGCGGGTGTTGAGCGCATACTTCAGTCTGCGTGGAGATTGTTTGTCAGAATAGCCGGACGGAAGTTGCGCGCCATATTGCGACCACTTTCGATTCCAACATACCGGTTGCGGATGAACACGACGAGAGGCATGCAGTCGCGCAGCTTGTGCGGACCGGGAGAGGCCTTGGGAGCATAAAGACCGCTGAGCTTGTCAAGCAGCCAGTGCTTGGGCGCTGACAGACGCTTCTGGTGCTTCTTAGGACCACGACCCATCTTTGCGGCAGGTGTTGTTGTTGATGTGTGTGAAGAAAGGAAAAAGTCAACACGTGCAGATGAAGTTCAGACGTCGGAGGCACGATCGGTGTGTATGGTGGTGTGAATTCGCACGAATGCTTGGTCGGAGGAACCTTTTTCCGGGTTGGAGTGCGACGCTGGGAGAAAATCTTGGCGCTCACGGGGCCGCAAATTTCACAGACGTCGGCTTCGAGAGGGAGAGAGATGTCGGCCACAACACAGCCATCATCGCCAGTGCATGTGCATTGCAGTATTGACAGTCAATCCTACATTTCTCACCCCATTTGATGCTCAAGTTTTGTTCTTTCTGATTCAGCACGAGAATTGACATGATCGATGGGTATATTCCGACTGCGAGGAGAACTCTGGAAGAGGGATTCGGGGCGCCCCAAACGCAACATTTAAGGCAATATATATTCAAATGGATCCGCAGATTCATCATCACAACATCTGGTTTCGTGGTGTAGTTGGTTATCACGTGAGTCTAACAATTGTTAGATGCACTCAAGGTCCCCGGTTCGAGCCCGGGCGAAATCATTTCTTTTGACTTTTTGATGCTCTCGTACTGTCTCTCTCTCTCCGACGTCCACAGAGACGACCAGGTCAATTTACTTTTTGACGTTGAGTTAGACAAGACGATCTGTATTTTGGGACTGATCAAAGTAGTCGTGACATCTAGAGAGTAATGGAGTTGGTGGTTTAAGGGCGTGGAGAATGTTTACAGCGTGAATCACAACTTGACATTTCTCTGGGTGAAGACGTCGTTCCATTGCGATGATACCGGATATTCTCCATCGGACAACTATTTGACTGGAGACTTCTTGTGGTCTTTTTCTGTGTGCTCCTATGATAGAGTAGAAAACCTCAAATATAGAAATGCCTCATCATTGACAATGTCATCTCATGCGATCTTCTTATTTGCCTGTTGATATTTGATGGTCTCTGGACATCATGCTAGGGTTGCACTTGGGGTAGTGGAAACGATGCATGTTCTCAGGCAGGAAGGAGCTCACGTGCGGAGAAGAGGGAGAGAGAGAGGATGATCTCTCCCCCAGATTCCTGTGTGCGCGCGTGTTATGCCGCAACATTTCGCATTTCCCCCTCCTGGCTTGCTTTCCTGCCCTCGGCTTTATCGGGTTCCCTTTGTGTGGTGGTAACGCCCCACATGATCAACAAGCGATGAGTGCCCACCTGGGCAGGTGAGTGCTACACGGGGCGTGTGCAAGTGTCACCTGGGAGGCGGTAGCCCCCAAGCTGCACGAAATGATGCATGCGTCATCACTAATCCATACACGCTACCCACCTGTGCTTAAGTATTATCCATGCTTAAGTACAATATTATCCATGGATCGTTCCAAACTGGGAAGGTTCTAAAGGTTGTTGAGTTGATCCCCTCGGATATGGAAAGAATGGATATGACACTGTATACTGTGCTTAAGCTGCATTGCATGGCCTGGATCCCGTGACAACTTCTGGTCTGCCGATGCCTTTCTGTACTGGGTAGTCCTGCACATCGCTCGTGGTGTGCAAACGTTTCGTGATTCTGTCTGCGTTGACCGTGACAAATCATTGCACCACACCTATCGCTTGCCTACATTTTCTACACCTCCTTGCTCCTCCTCTGGAACAGTTACGCTTACAGTATATTTATCCCTTAGATCATTATCATTCAGGGGTCAGATCTACCCGTCATGTATCTACAATAGTCTTCAGGCTATCACATCGGACCGGCGTCCGATCGACCCGCGGCCAAGGAAATCCCAACCCAAGCCCGAGGGTTTCACTTCCAAACACCCACTAGTCACCGCCACTCTATCAAACATATACCTCGTGGCCCGACAGCCTCACCATTCCTCTCCAAAAGTTTCTCTTCCTTCACGCAGACCTTATCTACCATCTTGCTTCCCATCTTCAACAGATGCGAGTCTGATAATCCCTCTGCGCGACCAGTAGGTTGTTGCAAACCCCCATCGTCGCCTTTATCGCCGCCACCGACGCTGCGCTTTCCCCGCAATCAGTCGATAACAAAGCCGAGAGCGTGCGTCACGTCGCGCGAACCGCCACCAACCATGCATCCCCTACGGCTTCTCTTCTTTTTCGTATTCGGCATCTTCAGTTTCGTCATCTTACTCGGTATCGGCCAGTCGCCATCGGAAGACGATTCCGAAGATGACCAGCAGAGAAATCCTGGCCCATCGTTCGACTGGCGCGCGCCTTCGTCGTCATTGTTCCCACCATCCGCCGTCATCAGTCTGACCGATGACAACTCCACCTTCTTCCTGGCCCGACCTGCAGCGTTTGGCCCGTTGTTGCCCACCAAGAGCTTGAGTGGTCAGTTATGGATCGGAAGTGGATTCGGTGATGATCAACGGCCAGGGCGAGGAGGAGGCGGCTTCAGCGCCGGTGCCGAGGGAGAATTAGGTTGCAGCGATGTTCCTGGCTGGTACGACGGGGACTATCTGCCTCGCATCAGCAGCAACAGTGGGAAACGCACAGGCGCAGATATCTGGAAGACAAGTTCAAGTCCACGGATTGCGGGCAGTGCTGGATCAAGGAAGCAATCGACGCCTGGGAGCGATGCCGACTCAGAACTTGACGATCGGTCAACGACACCAGCCGAGAGAGATGGTACAGACGACCATCTCCATCATCCTTTGCCCGCTTCTGGTGGCATCAAGACCAACGGCGAGTCCCTGCGCGGAAGCAGCATAAAGACGACGCACGCAGACATTCAATCACTACAGGAGAGCGCCGAAATCGCTGGCAAGATCGTATTGCTGAGCAGAGGAGGTTGTGGATTCTTGGAAAAGGTCAAATGGGTACAGCGTCGAGGTGGCGTTGCTTTGATCGTTGGTGATGATGTTCGCGGTGGTCAATTGGTGACCATGTATGCGCGCGGCGACACCTCCAACGTCACCATCCCTGCACTCTTCACCAGCCACACGACAGCGCATCTGCTATCAAGCTTGATTCCCGCCGAAAAGGGTGTCCAGCCCGGCCGACAAGAACAAGCTGGGTCTAACAAACCTGATGAATTTGCGACATCGGACTCCGCAGAGCGAAAATCCGACACAAGCTCAATCGAAGATATGACTGCGCTCGAAGTTCCTCAGAGTTGGTTCCGCAGTCTTTTTGGATTGTCTCCTAGGAAGTCTCTGAGCTACGGCAGAAGACCACCCAGCAGCGGCTCGCGAGAGTGGATCTACCCCAATGGCAAGGAGGACAACCAAGGAGCAGGTGATAGCGCACAAACTTCCACCGGATCTTCGAAAGCGTCCCCTGCGCCTGCTGCGAAGAAAATTGACGACGGCTTCGTGATTGGAGTGCACGATTGGAGAGACCCTGATATGGTTGCCCAGCAATCAGAGGATCGGCAGAGATCATCGGGCAGCGCTGCGGCTTCAACCGAGGCTCGCACGGTGCAAAACAGTGCGCGCATCGCAAAGGATGGTAGCAGCACTCCTGCAAGTGGTATCTCGGAATCATCTGCAGGAAAAGGCGACGTCTCTGACGAGGCGACCCGGGAATTTGAAAATCAACGCGCAGGCGAGAGCTATGGATCATCTCTCGGTCGACTGTTCCGACACTTCTTTTCTGAAAGTCATCCGGACGTGTATGACGTCGATGTGAAGGATTCTTCAGATCAGCTACACGACAGCAGCTCAACCAAAGCACCGTCACGGCTGACGCAACACAATCCCCACATGGCCCATGTATCGCCTGCACAACAAGATGATGACGCTCAACCTCAGCTACCACCACATCGCGAGGGTTTATGGATCACCCTTTCTCCGACCACAATGTCCTCCTCACCTTTCTTTGATACCCTTCTCGTGCTTGTTGTCTCGCCGCTTGTGACCTTGACGGTCGTGTATGCATTACTTCTACTGCGTGCTCGAATCCGCCGACGCCGCTGGCGAGCACCCAAATCGGTTGTCGAGCAATTGCCCGTGAGGACATATCACACCATCCCTCCGAGCACGGCGAACACATCGCCCACCGCTTCCGTCATCCTTTCACCTCATCCTGAGGCTAACGATGATTTGATTGCTAATGCCGAAACACCCTTATTACGATCTTCCACTTCTTCATTGAGAAGCATCAATTCCACTTCATCTCAAAACCATCATCACCACCAGCATGCCCGAACGGCGCCCGGCGAGTCAACCACCGACCAGGAGCACGCCGAAGGAGGCGAATCACCCACATCACCGCTCCTACGTTCAACATCCGCATCTATCCCGACTGCATCAAGACCAGGACAGGAACGACCCGCGCTCGCATCTTCCTCAAACACCACCTCCAGCGCCGCGGCCCTCGCCGAATGGCGGCGTCGCTACGGCGGCAAGCAGCGCGAATGCGTCGTCTGCCTAGAAGAATATATCGACGGCGTCAGCCGCGTGATGAGTTTACCCTGCGGTCACGAATTCCACGTGGAATGCATGTACGTCATCACCACTCCTCCATCCCCAAGTAAAGACGTATCCATACTGACACATTCCCCCACAGTACTCCTTGGCTCACCACTCGCCGCCGCACCTGTCCAATCTGCAAAGGAGACGTCGTTCGCTCCCTCGCCTCCTCATCCCTCTCGCCCAAATCACCGCCACCACCCCCATCCTCCTCCGCCACTTTCTCCGCTGCTCTCCCGCCTCCTCGGCGACGGAGACCCTCCTCTCCTCCATCTGCGACTATCATGCCGGCGCAGTCCCAGCACTCCTTAACAAGTCGGCGCGACAACCCGGGCCACGACAGAGTCGTCGAAACGGAACTCGAAGACCGCAATGCGTTCGTCCTTTCAAACCACAATCATCGCGATGAAGATTTAAATCCTACATCATCTTCATCTGCGACGGCTTCAACGAGAGCCGCAGCGCCGGTTCGACCATCGACGACGGCCGAGCCTCGAAGAACGGTTCTCCTCAGCCGCGATTTCGAAGCGGATGAGGATCTTGAGCGAGGGAGTGCTGCCGTCATTGGTATCACGGGGCAGGAAGATGCGGGGAGGAGCGAGAGTCAGCGCAGGAAAAGTCGTTGACTGATGCATGAAATGTAAAAGGAAATGAATATCGGAATGGAGTTTGATTAGGGTTTTGGGCCGGTGCGATTTTGTTCGAGGTCCTCGGCGGGGATTGTCATTCTGGCTCTGCGTTTGTGCTTTGGCGGTAATTATGACCCTTCAAATTTTTTGCTCTGCTGAGGTCTTTGGGAATTCTTCCTCTGATTCTTATGGTTTGTATGAATGAAGGAATGAATTTGAATCAAATCGAATTGGACGATTTCGACGTGTGTGTATATGCGTGGCGCGGACACCCCGAATACAGATTTTGCCCGTGTCTGCTGCATCATTGAACAGATACATAGGTAGGCATGCTCTGATGATCCATTGATTCAAAATTCTCTGGAATTGCTGGGAGGGCACGCCTTGCAGCTTATGTTGTGTTGTGAATTCACTTTGCCGAAAATTTACCCAGGTACCTCTCCAACCTGTAGGTCAGTACCTGCCTAGGTACCCTGTTCTTTTCCTTTCACTGATCAAGACAACGGGGAGCGCGGATGGGTTGACTGCCGTTGTGGGCCGATTCCTGGCCGGTGAATGGGGTTTCAACAATGATGACGGCGACGATGATGATACTGATGTGTGTGCCTTCCATCTTTCGCATTGGTCGCATTCCATGGGATTTCCCGCAAATTCAATATTATTATGGTTGTTTCCGTGCGCTTTATGTAGACTGCAGGTAAGTGGGTGAATGGGTGGGTAGGTGAGTGAGCGTGTGGATGGTTCCTTCCCATCTGCACGATTCATTTTCCAATCGGGAAACAATCTTTTGGGTTGATTACCATCGTGTGCACTTGTCCGCTTCTACTCTACACATTCTTTTCATCGAAAGGTTTACTCTGCTTGTTTTTATCTTTTTGTCGAGGCTCAAAGCGTGTGTCCAAGTTCATGACTGTGACATGGCGATGTCGTTGGGATTCGCCAGTGTGTTCACTCCGATCAATGGGTCGTCTTCGGTCGTCGATGGCGTCGAAAAGAAGCCTACAGACCTACTGAATGGGCACAAAGAGCTTGACCGACGGCAGGAAAACCGACGAGAAGAGCGAATAGAAGAGCAGGGACAACAACGGCAAGCACAACAACGAGAACAAGGGCCGCAACCAGGTCATCAGAGTACACAAGAGTCTGGTCCCAGTCCGGACAAGAACATGCCTTATGAGAGCCCTCCGATCAACCAACGATCAGCACGCTCAGCACGCTCAAGACGAATCTACTCCAAAGCCGACCGTCAACTGGAAGCACTGAGAAAGCGCGTCGCCTGGAACATCGACGTCGCTTATCGAGGCACCGGCGATTTACAAACGAAGTACGAACCGAACGGCAGTTCGTTAAACGTTGGACAGGAGGAATGGGATGCCCTGTGGGTCATACAGGACCATATCGAGGCATGGAGGGTTGTGAATAGCGATCCGGAATCTTCATTACAGGCGAGAAAAGCTGCTCTGAACGTCGTTCTCAAGGATCGAATTTGGTTTTGGAATAAGACTCCGGAGCCTGGGTCGAAGGCTGTTGTCGAGAATGAAGGCAATGACCAAGCGTCTAATAGCAGCGAGTCGTTGGAGAACAGGAAAGCTCGAAAGAAGCTTGACTTGTCCGTTGATCCGATGGGTACTTCAGATGCCAAGGCACAAGCTATCGATGACGACGACGTTCCTTTGGCGAGTCTACTGCCGAAAAAGAGGAAGATGCTGACTTTCAGGCACTTTCCGGACGCCTCTTGCAGAAACGACTTCGAGTCTGGTCATGTCGCGCCCAAGCCAAGTAGCACAAGTCATATCGTCTCCGATGGTCACAAACACAGAAAGATTGTCCGGAAAGACAATGATCGATCCGCCAGATCGGACCATACTACTGTGACCAAATCAACTCTGGTTATCAAGCCGCAATCTTCATCCTCGGCACCAGTGGCTTCTAATCCCAGGCACAGTCCTACAGCGTCGCGCGCAGTTCCGAGCAGGAGACCTCCTTCGCTCGCCAACACCAGTGCAATGTCTAACAAAGACATCGATTGCGATGACAACATTGCCCTCACGCCTCGTTGGCCTCAGATCCAAAACCAAGGAATGGCTAGCCGATCGAATTTCTCCGCAGTCACCATGGAGAGCGTTCGAAACTGTGTTCAAGAGCCACTTATCCTTTCTCCGCAAAGCCACACTACTAATATCTTCAAACGCGAACCGCTTCCTACACCACTGCCGACTGATTCTGAAACGACAGGGCACGAAAGTACCCACCCACCCTATAATCATCAGAGATTTGACTACGGAAACATGCCTCTCCCTGCAAGAGACGCCGTACAATCTCAAAAGTGTCCCGACCTGTGGAACGCTTTTACGCCCGTCATTCTACCAGAGGAGCCTTCTTGCATCTCGTATCCAGTTTTAGCGCCGCACAATCACGAAACAATCACTATATCTGACAATGGCTGCGACGAAATACACGTCTCCACAACCAACGATAGCGCAGACATGACCAACAATTCATCGTTACATTCGACCAACCATCCACAATCGCGGCAACATGAAACCTCCTACCATCATCGCTCTGACTCGAGAGAAGCAACGATCAGACGTATCCATTTGCTGCAGCAGCAAGCCGCAGTGGAACTGACACAAATTAAATTACAACTTGCGCTGGACGAGCTACAGGCGTCCAATCTGTGAGTCATCGAGAAGAAATTCGCCCAATGGAGACGGGCACGAGGCCCTCTGGTTTGAGGTACATGCTGCAGGCAAGTGGACGTTCCTTCCTTCGTTAGATATTCTGAAACGAATGCCAACACACCACCTTCCGATAATTTCTATTGTCTTCTATGCAAAGGCACGTGGAGAGCGATGCACGGTTTGTCATCCATCCATCCACGATCGATGGAAAATGAAGGTCCTAGGTCATCGAAGAAAATTTGTTAGGTCGAGATACGGGAGAGGTCTATCAGATTGGGCAACATCCATCTTGTACCGGGACAATTCTCCCTCGAATCGATACTGGTAAATTCTTTTCGATACGCCCCCTTTCGATAATTTCTTATCCTACATGAGAACCGCTGAGAGTGACGCGCGTCCACGCCCTCATCTACGATGGAGGATATTCTCGTAAGTCATCGACCAAAGGTTGCCAAATGGAGATGTAGAGGGGGCGCTTTAGGTTGAGGAACACACCCTGCAGGCGGCCGTTTCTTCCCTCGGTGGTTATTTCCGAACAATTTCAAACACACCGCCTGCTGATGATTTCTTCTTCCATGGAAAACCTACACTGAGGGCGATGCACACCCTATCATCACATCCACGATGGATGCGAAATTTCTATCTTCATGTGGCCTGCCGTTGAGAGTTCTATTTCGTGGCGTCGCAAGAGTCGTTGTGCTCCGTGCTCCATGCTGCGTGGGATTGGCGTGGCGCACATCATATTCTGTTCAGGGCCCCGACTAAGGGTGCCTTCCCGCTTCCCGCGGGCGGCTGGGCGAAGTCAAATTTACCTGGCTCCGCCCTGCCTGCCCGTGCCTGGTAACAGTATGACGCGTTCGTCACGGTTTTTTTTCCGTGGCCAGCGACTTCCCCGTGGGATTCTTCGCTAGGCACGATTTCTGTGTCCCTTAGCCAATTTCTTAAATCTACGAAAATGGCTATAAGATGCTTTCCTGATAATCGGGTGGATTGTGCTATGTTCTTAGTCTGCGGGACAGGCCCATTTCTCTATCTCTGCGAGATTTCTTCCACGCGCCCATCTCCAAAATCTCGTCCAGAGAATGGATACCAATCTACTGTTATGTGCTTTAGCATATGCATGTTGCTTCGAGTCATTACCTAGTCTTTGCTGTGAACGACAACTTCGGTGCCTGGAGTCCCTTTCGGAAGAGGCGGTGAAGATAAATTTGAGGAAGTGACTCGATGATGTACACGTGCAAATTCAGAAGGCGTTCCGATCGATGGACCACGCCTCATTTCCGTACAATATAGAAGGGCTGATCGATATCTCCACAAAGCAATGTGCAAATTATCACGCGGCACGTCCATCGCTAGAGGAGGGAGGTTGAATCGAAGCACGCCTCCGATTACTAGGATCACCCGATCGCTAGGTGTCGGGGAGGTGGAGCTAATTTGAGAATCCATCGTTGAAGTGAACTCTAGATTCTTGGGTAACGAAGATGTACGAATCGCACGCTTCGTGGGTGTAGCACGATTGGGTGTGACCGCTGGAAAAAAGGGTTGAGAGATGAGGGAATGAAGTGAAACGAGATCTGCCTGCTGCAGGGGCGAAAGTGCAGGCAAGATTGGTTTTCTTGAGTCATCGTCCAGATGTAGAGGATATTTTGGGGGCCATGATAGGAAAACTCATGTGCGGACGCTTCGTCAATCTTGAGGCGGAGTGACTGTGCCGCACACGTGCATATTGGGCATTGGGTGCTCATTCCTTGACGCAATCGACAACATCCCTCTGGCGCTTCTGCTCACACAAAATTTCCGGACGCATCCCCTTACCCACCTGCAACTAGATTCATCCCCTTGCTCAATGTCTTTCGATCCTGGCTCCGACCTCATCCCCTTTTTCTGGAGCACTCTTCAATATCTCGTGTTTCCATACCTTCGTCCACCCCCTCCCTAACATTTTATATTTTCTCGTCCGGCTTTTGCGGTTCTCACCAATTTCTGTCTTTCCGTCCACCCTATATCGCCCTCGTCAGTGGGCCTGGGTGCCTTTGCTTCGAGATGACGGATTTCATTCATGATGCTTCTGCTCCTTCTCACAACTTTCGATTTGAGTCTGACGCAAACATCCTTCATGCGCAGTCACCTCCACGACGGACGCAGCAGGAAACTCACCAGTCCTTGAATATGGTGCCACATCCGCTCATGGACAACCATCAAGCGCTCCAATCTGCTGCTAATATCTTCCGAGAGACGACTCCCATCGAGCGCGGAGGGCAAACTCCTGAGACCGCTGACGGGTCTCGCGCTAATGAAGAAGTCAAATACCTCAAGCTCTTCAATCGCGTCAAGATGAATATGGAAGTTTTAAGGCGAGGTACAGGCAAAATGACCACGAAGTATACGCGTCGTGGAGACGGGCCCAACCCTGGCAATAGTGCATTCAAGAGACTCAACAAACTCCAAGATCGCCAGCACACTTTTATGACTCTACCTACCGGCTCTAGCGGACTGTCAGAATTCAAGGCAACAGAAAAGCAAAAGATCCTTGAAAAATGGGCTCGCATCGTCCGCGACTACCACCCTCACCGTTCGCGTACGCGCGAGAGCTTGACTCAGTCGGATATTGAATCTCTGCGTGGCACGATTTCGGTTGCAGCGCAGCGGCGTCGACCTGACGAGATCATGTCCGGCTCTGCTCTTCAAGACAACAGTCACCCTGCTCCTAGGAATGGCGGTGCGTTGAATGTTGTATCGCATAGTCGTACAGATCACCAACCTTCGCATCGTACCACAATAATACTCCCGCAGGATGATCCTGTACCAACAGCAGTGATGACACTGTCATCCTCCACCGAAGTTGCTGGGCCGAGTCACGCGAAGCGGAGAAAGACAACTCACGACAACCGAGACAATGCGGAAGCCTCCGAATCTAGTGCAAGCTTTGTGGCGAATGAAAGACGCAGGAAACGCCCTACGCTTTCAGGATCGACGAGGCCTGACCGGCCTGGCAGAACCTCGCCAGTAACTGTACCAGCTACAGGAGAGCAGGTCATCGGCTCCAATGCACCAAATTCTCTACAGTCTAGTACAGCAGTCAGTACTATCGCCACACCGCCTTCTCCTACATCTGCAAACAAAGAGCCGGCATCGTCACGTAAGAGCCTCATCGTTATTCTCAAGATACCACCTGGTCATCGCTCATTCTTCAATCTAGAAACGACCTCCAGAGATAACGATGTCATCGCCTTGGTCCGTGAGCGTCAGCTCATGCCTGCCCCAATTGCCACTGTATCGGCAATGGAAATACAGCCGGACGTGTTTCGCGTCCAAGAGATTCCTGAACGGCTGCATCTTCAGCATCCCAACCTCCCGCCTCAGCACATTAGCGATCAGCCTCAGCAAATAACCTCCCGGGACGTTGCCTGCCCGTCCGGAAACATAATCGCACCTGTCCCTTTTGCACACTGGGATCATGTATCTGAGCCGCAGGACGAGTCATCTTCTGTGGCCTCGGTCGGGGCACCCATTTATGCTTCTGCCTTGGTCTCAAGTGATCCTGTCGCTCGCCGTGACGAGGCCACAGCGCAATCGTCCTCTGTGCTTGACATGACCGGCACCACGCCCTTTGACTCAAATGCAACGCTGCCTCATAGCCTTTCTGCGATTGGCCGCAGCCTCAAGAACGAGCCCATCCTCATGCCCGATAGAGATGAGAACCTAGAACCCACATCTCACCGCAACCCTAGCCCATCGCCGCAAATTCCTCTGGCTACCCACGAAGCACAGCCGGAAGCGACATTTCGAATGCCTCAGCTTCAGACTATGTCGGCCGTAGCCCAGATCAAGGAGCTTGAGCTACTTGCGCAAGTGGCTGCAGCCGAAGAGGAAGCATCTTATCACAAGCAGAGAAAGCTCAAGCTTCGGTATGAAATCTATAAGTTGGAGCAGTCTCAAGAGCAAGTCGCCTTCGTCTCGACGAACGTGTGTCATGGCTTACCGTCTCCTCCGAGCCAGGAATGACGGTGGTCGCCTTGGAACAAAATGAGAGACGGAAGAGATCTTCTTAGCAGACGTCGCGATAACCTTCCGCCGCAGGATTCTGGCTGTCACGACATTGGTTCGGGCGTGTAAGCATGCGCGGCCTTCGCACAGAATTTCCCAATCGGGAAAGCTTAACGCGGGGAACCCCAACGCGGTCCATACCCCAACGCGGTCCAAGGCATCAAAGAGCATAGCATTCAACAATTGATTGCTCTACCAATTATTGTTGAAATACCTTCAAATTGAAAAACATGGTAGATCAATACTAACTCTTATGATACACAGGTTCTTGCGTTATGGTCTGGACGGCCACACTTGCTACACTTTCTAATACGCTTCACGGGCCTCGGCATCTCCTCCTGGATTTGTGCTTCTACCTCCTCTTGTT